AATCCGAATAAAACTAATATGCCTATCCCATTCTTATATATATTTAATAATTACCATATAATATTTTTGAGATCCATTTGGCAATACCCAGAGGACACGACAAATGAGGCGCTTCTAATTATTCTTCAAAAACTATTTTGTTTTATTTTCATTTTTATATTATTAAAAAGTATTCAAATTCGTTATGACAGAATTAAATTATATAAATGCATATACGTTATTATGTACGTTATTTATTATATTCAGATTAAATAATTAGTGCTTATTATACAAAATGATACAGATGTTATTGAACAATCGTTATTTCAAACTGTATATAGTTTTGAAAAATATTTTTTCATGATGTCAAGTCTTTAAAAAATCAACATTTTTCAAAAGTGTTTAATATATTTTTTAATATTTTTTATTCTTAACCTTTTTTAAAGTGTTTTACTTGTTTTTATGGCTTATACATACAGCTTTAATTTCATATTCCAAAGCAGAATATTTTCCTAAGTATTTCGATACATAAAAATCGAATTTAGAAAGAGTAGTTTATGGGTATTTAAAGTTTAGTGGAGTGGAGTGGTACTTTAAATACTTAGGTGTCACTCATAAGCTACTCATCCTAATTTCGATTTTTATGTATCAGAATACTCAAAAAAATATTCTGCTTTCGAAGGTAAAATTAAAAGTGTATATTTTAATTCAAAAAAATTAAAAATTATAAGGATAAAAAATATGAAATAAAATATTTTCAAAAACATTAATAATTGAATAATGAATAACCTAGTATTTTATCTGGGAAATGAAGTTACAATCAAGCTTTTCGTTACCAGTAATTTCGGGACCAAATTTACAACAAAAAAACGTAATCTCAGGCCCAATTTTCATTTGTGCATTAGCAAAATGCAAATAGCTAATAGTTGCTTTATAAAGTGTACATATTTTTATTTTTACAACTGCAGTATAATATTATTGACAGACAGAGAGATCGCCGATCACTATAAAATGTATACGTTTTTCACAAATAGCAACATAAAAATATAGTTCTACAAATTATTTTATTAACATACGACTATACGAGTGTACAATAGTACAACAACAGTCAAAATTATAGACTATATTTTTAAGTATAAGTAAACATACAGTTTATGTCTTTATGATTATCAACATGTTGTGTACCCGACACTAGAGAGTTTAAATCGAATAGTGTACAGACATAGCTATACTGATTCTAGTTAAATTACATAATAATCAGTGCCGTAGACAGAAATTTTCATTGGGGTGAGAGGGATATATTATATTCATTATTTCTAAGATAAATCGCAAGGCAGTGCCTTCCTCACTAATATTATAATATAAAAAATATAAAAGAAGTGAGCAAGTTGTTACCGATATGCTGTACAGTTTGTGCACAGTGTCTAGAAGGGTCTCTCCAACGGATGTGTTAAATTTGAATTCAATGATACAAAAATCATTGTAATATAAAAAAAACGATTCTGAGAGAAGACAGTCTGTCAGCATATAATATTAGATGCTAAGTGTATTGAAATTATTGTGATCAAAGAAATATTATTAAATTTAATTAGGTAATATTTAAGTTCAAATTTATTTTACTATTAAGTAGGAATTAATAGTACTATACAGTACAGGCTGAATTCATTTTTGACGAAAAATGGCATTTTAAAATGTCGTAGTGAGTATAAAATATATTAAAACACCTACTTAAAAGTTTCAATGATTCGTGAATAATATTTTTAAATTACAACAAAATAACTAAAATCGTTATACTTCGCTTGAATAACTAATTTCGTCCGAATCGAACATAAATATCTATAAAAAAAACTGTGTTTGTACCTATATTTTGGTATTATATTAAAAGTACTATAATACACGATGTCTCAAAAATAGTATAAACGTGTAAACGTGAAAAGTTAATAAAAAAAAATAAGTTCTTATACATTTGGGAAGGCAAATTCTTTTCAAAACTACATACCTATGTATTAAAAACAATAATTAATGTACCCAATATATATGAGCAAAATTTCAAAAAGAAATATTTTTTAGTTGACCTATAATCGCTAACACTGATGGTGAGTAATCGAGAAATAATATGTTCATGTTGTTCAAATACACAAACACTTTGTATAAACAAACAAAGAAACTGAACACAAATATTAAATCAACCTTATATTAATTCGCCAGTTACACGCATCGTGCTGCCACAAACATACAGCGAAATAATATTATAATATCATACAACGAACAAAGAAAATAAGATCGGATCCTACCTATATAATGAATAAATAATAATATTAATGATTTATGATATATTTTATTATTTATATGCTTTTGAACGCAGCACGAAACACAAACAAGCGCAAATAACCGATTTCGAAGTACGAGAATTTATTTAGGCCACTAAGGGCGAGGGTGTGTATTATTGGTTATATCCTATAGAAATGGTATTATTTTCTAATGAAGAAATCCATAGTAAAATTAATAACCATTTTTAGCAAGTTAACATGTTTATTAATTTAAAATTAGATTATTTTAAAATTGAGAAATCTGATTTACTGTTCTAGACAGTGTTCGACAAAAGCAAAAAAACTACCTATGTGATTGGCAGATTATGTACGTTTATGGTTTATATATTCCGATATTCTACAATATTAAAAATTGATAAATTTCAATAAATACAAAATAAGTAGTTATTAAAACATTAAATAAACTAAAAAAAATCTGATTAATGAAATATATTCATGCTCCATGAATATAAATTTATTTTATTTTGCTTTATTTGTTTTAGTGCTTAACAATAATATAACAAAATATTTTATTATTTATTATTATCTTTTAACAGTTTAATGGGAAAAATATGATGAAATTAAATATATAAATTTGAAATTATTTATAATTTAATCTGAATAAACTTTAATCATCAGCAGTGCTAAAATTGGGAATTATTAAGTAGAGGAGTCCAATCCAACAATTTAAAAACTGCTTCCCTAGTGCAAAATTGTTGAACACAGACAAGTGGGAGCTTTGCCTCCAACCATTCCTTAATTTTGAAAACTACATTTAAGCTTAGTTACAGCATTTTAACTTTATTTCATTCTTTATATTTGGAATATAATATATATTTTAATTATGTATCATGTAAGTAAGTATGGACTTATATTTTATACTCATCTCAGTTTCCGAAATTTTCCCCTATTACATTTCATACATTTAGTCAATTAAAAAAGTAATTGTATTAATATCATGGGGATCGGTGGCGGGCAGTTATTTTAGCCACAAAATTTCAATCTTTCGTCAATCATACTGATCGATCTAGTATTGAGATAATACTTTTTAAAACTGATTTGAATTCGTTATTATATCTACTTAAGATCGGCCTGTCCATTTTTTCCAATTACACTCCACCCCTAACAGCTATAAATGTAGTTTGAATATTTTGAAATTTCGAAATTTTGAAATTTTGATTATTTGGAATTAAAATCAGAAATCCTAAAATCGTGGACTGACCGATCTTAAGTAGATATTAAAAACAAATTCAGATCATTTTTCTGAAATATTATCGAATTTGTTAGGATGGACAAAAGGTACGCATAAATTGTTAACCGTTCACTCACGCATTGTCAACACATGCGCTTGCGGAAGCATTCCGCTATTTTTTTTACACAATCACACACCCTAATGATCCCTTACTACGTACGCTTAATTTATAAGACTCGCATGCATGCAATTTGAAAATTTCTTATTCCGAACTCCTTAAAACCCGTCCGCCACCGAACAGTGAACACCGTATTATTATTTCCATTTTGATTTTTGATAGTAATGATACCTACATGTTTCAGTTGGACATTTTGATAACACAATACTTTATTCATGTACTGTACATATGTGTGCACTTTACTAAACTAGACAAAGAACAATCGTAATATAGTATAAAAAAACTATAATAAAAAACCAGTTATGTATTAGGTAGTCTAAACTTTACCATAGAACAGGTAGAAAAATATTTTTAATATTGCAAACATTTAAAACTAGTGTAGGCACCAAAATATGTAAGGATGTGAATTGAATGTAAAAATACAAATATTATTCTCTCAAAGAGTATAAATAATATTATGCTCAGAAACATGTTCGTCGCAGTTAAACTTGCAGCAGTGGTGCGCAGTGCTTTTGGAAAATAAGGTTTTAAACAATAATATCGACATTGTGACGAAGTTATTGTATACGAATTATTAAGTACTTCGGAGAGAGCGTTTAATTATAGCGTATACGGTATGATCCATCTAATGTAAAACAATAATTATTTCAGAAAACACTAACGTCTTTGAAAATATTTCAATTAAATAATTTAAAATCGTTACAAAACAAGATTTCTGGAAAACATTTATATTCTTTACTAATTTTTTCTTTGTATTTTTTAAAAAGTTTTTACTCTCTTAAATGACAACGTGCATTTTTAATTTCATATTCCTAAGCAGAATAGGTATTACTTGAAGTATTTCGATCTATATAAATCAAATTTCGGAAAAGTATAGTTTATTACATAGTCACAACTCGTAAGTATTTAAAATTTAGATGAGCTGAGTAGTGGACCAAAATTTCGAAGGGTAACTCTGTACCATTCCACTCCACTCATCTCAATTAAATGCTTATGACTTATATACAAAGAGTAGTCAAAGACTATATTTTTAGAAAAATGTTATTTTTTATGAATAATTCAATTTTTTTTTTAAATATTTCAAAAACGATAATAGGAAACTTTTGAATTAATGAGTCTCTTATACTTTAAATTGATCACTCGGTATAGTTAAGGGTTATCTATATACTCGGCTCTGCTGCATAGAAGATCAAAAGACTATAACACTCCAGACATGCAATCATCACAATAACTGTTTTCTTCGAAATCGGTTCTCCGCCCTAGGTATTTCCGACTACGGGTGAGACGGAAATGAACAATATAAAAAAAAAGAACAAAAAAATATTTGTAAAACAGATCTCACCTGTCGACGCGCGTCGCTGCAATTATTGTCCATCGCGAAGGAATCGTACCTTTGATAACAGCTGGCCCTCATGGTGGTGTCCTCGTATCCGTGATACATATATTTTATTATTAACGATAAATACGCGATATCATACGATAATATTAAAATATCGATGATATTACGCGCGTACCCTGTGTCGAGGTGTGACGACGATCGGCGGGTGGATTGCAACTGCAGTTCTTTACGGAAACAAAATCTATGACAGCGACTATATCGTTACCTAGATAGGTAGTTACTTACTTTTGGCTTGAGTAAAAAGACCGGTGGCCCCGGCTAGCCCGCCTTTCATTGCACAGGTACGCGGCGGCAAGTTTGATCAATTGGCGCATTTGTAGGTAATAGCGGTATATACCGCAGCACGTGATGCATTCGTTTCTTCCGCCCTCTCACTCATCGCCCCACCACCGCACGACCGTCGTCCGACACTTGTTACAATAACATCGCGCACACAGACACCTGTTCAAACGCCTTGTGCGTTAAATTAATATTAAATATTGTGTGGCGACGCGCGCTGCGGTATCCGGTGAAACCCACCCGCACCGACCTACCGACCGATTCGAGAACAAAATATTGCACCTAGTACCTACGCATACATTGCGACGACGACTACGGCGTCTCCGCCGGATCTACGGGTTACCCACGTGTGCAAAACTACGACAAGGACGATAATTATAATAATATAATGATAATAACGATAATATTATAATATATACGACTATCAGAAGACTTACGATTGTCTCGGCCGAGGGCTGATGATGACGATATGTGTAATATGTGTATGTGTAACGATGTACTCAGTGGTTGCTGTTGTCGTCGTATGGTGTGGTGTTATCTCAGCGGCCCGAGATCGCGGCGATGCAGAGACGGTGTTGGTAGCGGCGCGGCCGATAAAGTGCTCGTGACTACCGGCGTACACGGTGTCGGGGCGCGTAATGCCACCGCGGCTGCTGTCCGTCCGCGGCGGCGGCGGCGGCGACCCGCGGGACGCTGTCGCGGGCATTGCATATATAAGTACGATAAGTTTTGCCGCGCGACACGCGCCGACGCGGACCGAACGTGTATAATACACCACGCGTATATTATTTTATATTAACAGCGGCGAAATAATTTTCCTCTCCTAGTCCGCACCCACCCTACAGTTTGCACCCTCTCTCGCCCTCCCACGATCGCCCCCTCTCTCGTACTCACCCCTCGTTCTCTCTCTCACTCTCTGTCGAAAACGGCAGCCGGTCCAGACGTAGACACGTAGTATATATATGTACCTCATCGCTATATATATTATATTATATCAGTACATACCTCTGCCATTGACATTGTTAATTAAAACCGCGGGATTTTATCAAAACTACTACCACCACCACCACCAACCAGCACCGCCGCCACTACTACTACCATTATCACTACTGTGGTATATGCGAGTGTATGTGTGTGTGTGTGTGTGTGTGTGTGTGTGTGTGTGTACATAACCCAACCGCTGCAGCCTGCCGAGCCACTGATATACGCATATTGTGTACGACGTACGCGATGAGAGAAGTATATTGCGCGTGGAGCTGGGAAAGCGCTTATCACAGACGTCACATGCACGATCAAGTCCGCTCTACCCGCCGACCACCGAACGTCGTCTCGTCGTCGTCGTCGTCGTCGTCGTCGTCGTCCGTATATTATAATAATAATAATATTATTATTACGTACAGCCGTTCAGTGCGCGAGTATTATTATTATTATTATTATTACGGGACTACCAGCGTGCTGCAGCCCAGCTATAGATTTAAATTTCATGATGATGATTTTTGGATTATAGGTCAGACCTACGTATACCGATAAAACCCATATTTGAACCGGGATAGTCAAATGGCACTTTTCGTCTAAATGAAATAGTCGAATTGTACTAGGGTTCAAAAAAAGGTTTAAAAAATAAATCTAATTTTGAAAACACTAGCCTGTTCCTACTTAAAATGTAAGCATTGGCATACTAGTAACCAATTAATTTTGTTTATACTTTTTAATGTTATAATATCATGTATGACGTATAACCTATATAGTATATATATATATTATTTATTTTATTTTAAATAATTAATTTTTTGTAAAAATTTTAAGAAAGTGAATAATGACATAAATATATAATATTACAAATAATAGATCTGTAGGCACGTATAAAACATGTTTAAGAATAATTTGTGAAATGTGCAATAAATAGGGTTTAATATTTATGGTAAATTTAATACATTTTTGTACAAACACATTTTTTTACCCAAGTGCAGTTCTACCATTACTTTTTTTTCAAATCAAGTGCAATTCTGCATTACTCGTATGAACGCCATTTTTATACATAAAAGCAATTGATTCTGCATTTATAATAACTGTATATATTATAAAAGTAATACTATAAACATACATTTTTTGAAATATTTTTAAAAAAATAGTTTTATATTTAGTAAAAGTTTTTAATGTTTTTTTCTTATATTTTTAGTTGTTGTTTTCGTTTGGATTAACCTATATATAAACAATTTTAGGTAACGGTCCAATATGCGACCTACAAATGTTACTCGACCTACCGATACGATTGAGTTGATCTACAGGTTTCTTTATAATAAAAATTATGGGAATCGTATAGTAGGCCCATGGGTATTTGGAAATTGTTGGAAACGGCCAGACTTATTATTAGAACGGCGATTTTTTATAGTAGAAAAACGGGATCGAGAAACTATTTTACAAATTATTAAAAATGAAATAAAAACTGGAACGACAATTTATAGTGAGCATACTCAACATTAAATCATCATGGATATATTCATCAAACAGTTAACCATTCAGAATTTTTTATTGACCCGGAAACAGGAGAACTCACACACTCAACAAATTGAAGGCTTATAGAGAATTGTGAAATCCAAATATAATATCAAAAAAAATGGGGCGTCTCCTTTACTAGATAAACCACTCCGAGAAGAGTGGTGGAGATCGTGTCAAAATCCAAAAACCATTTTTGATGAATTTTTGACTGATATGAAAAATACGTTTCATAACAAATTAATTGTATTTTACATTTATAACGTAAGTCGCATATTGGACCGTAAATCAGTGTGTAGGTCGCATATTGGACCGTTACCCAATTTTAAAAAGAAAGAATAGATTTAAAAGAAGTAGGTAATTGACCTTACAGGAGATGTTGTAACTGAATTAAAATCCATCAGAAGTAATTGTACCAATAAATTAAAAAAATATATTTTCTGAAGCGTAGGCAAAAAGTTTTGTAATTACAAAAAGTAAATAGTGTCTGAAGCTCAATTTTATTAATTAATAAATATATGCTTTCATTGTTTATTATTATTTTTATAAAAAAATACAATTCTAAATAGGATAACCATTTGTTTACCATAATTTGAATATTTCATAAACGAACTTTAGTAAAGATTTTTATCTCATTTAGAAATGTTTAAAGGCAATAAATAAATGAGATATATAATTGAGAATTTGTTATCAATGATAAATATAGTTTCTTACAGCGTTTGAATATTTATTTTCAAAAGATCTTGTTAAACTGGCCAAGAAAATTGGAATTTGTTTTATAAAAAAAAAAATGTATACCTATAAATAAACTATTAATTTCAGTAAATTATATTAATTTATTAAATACAATTTAAATGTATTATACATTTATAAATAATGTAATCAATATTTTTAATAATCTATCTAATCATTTAATTGTATAAGATATTAATATTACATTTTATTTTTATTATTTTAATATACCTATTCCAATCCCAAACAACAAAACCAGAATAGTGGTGTTAATTATTATGTATCCTTTTTTATTATAATTCTTAAATTTTGTATATCTATCCCTCCAGGACAAATTCTTACTTACGCCACTGCCCCAGACACTAATCGGTGCATTCGAATTTAGTCCTCCCAAAACACGAATTTTAAACGAAATTTCCTAGTTGAGTCCCGAGTTTTATAATTATTTGTTTGAGCCGAGTCCCAACTATTACAATAATATATACCTACTAGAGTATTAGCTTATTCAACTTTACATACGATATTAAATTATTAAATAGATAAATATTTAACGATGAATTAAAACGAAAATCAAAAAACAATATTAGTGAAAGACCATCTGAACTTAAACAATATATTGAGCTTGCTACGAATGGTATTGATACTTTGACAACTACTGATTTAAATTTTATTAGAAAAAATATTCAGTACCTATACCTGCAGGACTTCGTTATTATACTAATTATTTGTTTTGGTTATTTTATTATTTTATTCGAACAGTTATAGTGAATACCTATAAGGCAGATCAAAACAATGTCATGACGAAAGAATTGGTCCTATTTATCAGTATATTACCTCGAGGTACGATAAGGTGCAAACACTAAGCTAAGTAATCACGATGAACAAGACAAGTTGCACTAAACAAAACTTTGTGATAATAATGGTCATAATATCACGGTCCATGTCTTTAATCATATTAACCATATCATAGAGTATAAACTATAAACATATTAATCAAATATTAATATGCAATAGGTATGTCTATGATATTAACTACAGGAAGCTACAAATGCGCTTTAATAAATAATAACTGTTATGAATTATCAACATTGAATGATAAGTGATAGATATGTATAATATAAAATATTCCGTGTGTTCCTAAATTCATCAGATTGATCAATTGACTTATCAGCAATCTGCTATTCTAAAGGATGGACTGAAATGAAACCCGATGGATTTGATAACAATATGCAAAAGTTTAGGAACACACGGATTATACATATTATTTATAAATGTATAATATAATTTTCCTGATCCAATCATAGGAGGGGTTAATCCTTATCCCCCCCACCCGAAAGGAGTCTTTAGTGACATGTATCTGGGGCCTCACACTCGGCAGATGTTTGCCAAGGAATTTATTTTAGCTATAAATTGCTATATCTTTTCAATAGCCTCTAATACAATAGCTATATAGCTGCAAATCTGATTCCGTCGTGTTGACATGGTAGTAGTAAATTCGTAATTGTCACAAACGCAAATAACGAGATAAAATTAAATTTAAACCCCAACAATAAATAGAAACAAATGCCTAAAAAATGTATTATTTAAAAATATATCGTGGCCCACTAAAAATATAATCACGACACACAGTTTGGGAACCCCTCTTCTAAAGTATGATTATGCATTTAATCTAAGCATCTCGTCATTTCTGATAGTGAGAGTGAAGATAGATAAATTTACAAAAAAAACCAAATGCATTCATTTTCTAATTTTTACGAGAAATTCTAGATGTAGAGACAATAAAGTTTAAAAAAACACACTCACATCATTTGTAAAATCAATACATTCATCGCTTCTCTCAGAATTAAAAAAGTTATGAAATCCGACCAGTCTCTAAAACAAAAAAAAATCTAAAATTGCTTAATCGTTAGTAGTACCTACGTAGTATTATAAGCCATAGCTTAAATGTATATTGATTTTGAAATGCACACAAGTGCAATGTGAGAGAGTTTTTTCTAAATCAAAGATCATAAGAATAAAATTAGGTACCGTTAACTATAAAGATAGAGCGTTTGGTTCGTTAATGGTAATGGGCGAAGAAAAAGATATCGAAAATTACCGATAAAAACGTATAGACAATATAGCCAACTCATGATATTTTTTAAAAAGATTACAATTATATTTGTAATTTGTATACATAATATATTTTTTAAATATCATATAAAATGTAAAATATATTCAATTTGTATTTAAAACTTTTCCTGGCAATGATCATATATACTTAATGTTATGTACAATATACTTTTTTAATTTTGGAATTCTGACTATAAATAATATCAAATTTGAAAAATTAAAAATATCATGAATTGGCTATATTGTCTATACGTTTTGATATTATTTATAGTTAGAATTCCAAAATTCCAATATTGTACATAACATTAAGTAAAAGTTTTAAATACAAATT